TTTCTTGATCTATTAAACAAAACGATAAATTATCTCGACGAATGACACCATGTTCTAGTACGGAAGCTAGCTTTACATTTTTGTTGGTGGTTTCATGGGTTTCATATCAATTTTTTGTAATTGTAGTTTACACGTACATATACCTCTTAACACTTGTTTGCTTTATTAAAAAAGTGTGTTGTTGTGATTTACGTCGAAATAAGTCAAAAACAACTTGAAACCCCATATAAAATCAAAAAGGAGAAACGGAAAAAAATTGATCCTGTAAATGAACACAACTCCGAAACAAAAATAGCTATCTAATAATAAAAAAATAAAATTTGATTCTTGTGCAGCTTCATCTATATCATTAACTGTTTTTGGTTTTTTAATGGTTTTTCTTGGTGATGAAAATTCCGATATCTCACGGTTATCGATTCTTTTTTTCTCTCCAGAAATGCGGACGACAGTGTTTTTAGATACTCCTGTGGCTGCAGCAACACGATCATTTACATTTTTAAATGGTATTGAAGGTGAATTAAAGTTTCCTTCTCTTCTCATAAACTCTATAACATTGGCTATTATTTCGCGAGATTGACTGTTAATCACGCGGCCTCTTAATTTGCTATTAAACTCCATACTTAGGTTCTATTAAACTGGAATGAGCAAAAAACACAAACGAAAATAAAAGAAATGTTTTAGCGAAATTTACATCTGACATTTACGTCTGAATGAAATAGTGAAATACTTGATGCGCAGAGTGTACTTTCATTGCGTAAATCCGTCGGGATGCCTGTCAGTAGTGCTTTCTCTGTCTAGCCGTCGAAAGCCTCTAGAAATTTGATGAACTGTAGTTGTCCGGATCATATATATCAACTCTGTAATTTGGGCTTAAATAGATTGATATAAATCACTTGGAAGCTTCACTACAGCGGCCAGTGCTGTATACCTGGATGATCCTGGAAGAAAAACCATAGTTATCAGTTAATTAATCAAATAAGGAATACCAGACTTACCGAATATCCTTCAGGAATACTAAGGTAGGACCTTCCCATATTATTAGGCCCACAATATATTCAGGGTAATCTCCATTCGGACCATCCAGTTAATGCACTGTCTACAAATTTAGATAGTGAATATCAGTTATTTGAAACATTAGATAAATCATATATTAGTAGCCTACTAATCGTTTATAAATATATATTATCGTTTTTAAAGCAGGGTTTGGCCCTCATCTCGGGTATCTTTTTTGTATATAAATTAGTTTTATGGGTTAGTTTAATTAGTACTATATATTGCAAATCCTTACCTGTGAACCAAGAGTACGTACTTGAGGGGCAACTACCCAAATCATAATTAGAATTATCTTGGTGAAAGTTGCACGAAGATCTTATATTTTTTTTGTATGTCTCGTCATTCTAACCTCACAATACGCACGAGGACGATTAATTTGACATCTGGTCATAGAAATAACGTATGGTCCTAAAGTTTTTGGAAAATTTTTAAATTATTTATTTTTGTACCCAATGTCGTTTAATCAAGTTGCCATTGAAACTAAAACGTCACACGTAATCAAGTTTGATTATGACAGTTTAGTTTTGGAAATCGACTGTAGCAAAATGTTTTACAAATTAGATATTCGTAAGGGCATTTACAATCTAGTTGGACGAATACCTAAGCATGATATTGTTGCAATCTACCAAGAGCAAAATATAAGTAAGTCAACCATTTACAACACTATAAGGAATTGTGAAGAGGGTATACCATGCATTAATTTACCCAAAAGCGGTAGACCCCGAATTTTGAGTGTAAGAAGAGAAATAAGACTGATGGAAGCTGCTAAAGACAAAGTTGGAGTTTCTCAGAGAAAATTAGCCCGGAGATTTGGTATTTCGAAAACCACTGTATTAAGAACAATTGATCGCAAAAACTTAGTGTTTAGGAAAAGAAGAAAGGCACCAAAATACACCGCAGACCAGCTAGAAAGAATTCCGCGTTGTTGTCGCGCATTAAGGCGTATCCACTTTGCCAATAAATTGATTGTAATGGATGAATGGATGATGAAAAATATTTTACCTTATCCCATTCAGAGATTAAAGGAAACGATGGGTTTTATACCGATAACATAGAAAATACACCAGACAATGTTAAATTTAAAGGTAAATCGAAATTTGAGGATAAAGTTTTAGTGTGGTGTGCCATTTCTGAAGCAGGATTTATCTCACAGCCGTATGTTGGTCGTGTTCGGGGAGAAGTCTTAAATGCAGAACTTTATATTCAAAGATGTCTTACTAAATTACTTAATTTTTTAAATACACATCATCTCAACGATAATATAATGTTTTGGCCTGATTTAGCTTCATGCCATTATACTAGAATTACCAGACAGTGGTTAAGTGAAAATAACATTGACTTTGTACCTAAGTTGGACAATCCTCCTAATGTACCTCAGGCTAGGCCAATAGAGGAATTTTGGTCAATACTATCGAGGAAAGTGTACGATAAATGATGGGAACCTACAAATGAAGATCAATTGCGGCGTCGCATCTTCCAAAAGATTAGAGAAATAGAACCTGCTCTTGTCCAAAGGAAGATGGGACAAGTCCGAAGAAAATTACGACTCATTGAGGATAACGGGCCACTATCCATAATGTAATTATTAATTATTTTTCGTTATTAGTGTTGTTAATTGTTGCCACATGTGCTTTTAAAATTAAACAAATTTGAAAAAATTTATTAGCATTTAAAAATTTTCCAAAAACTTTAGGACCATACGTTATAACAAGTATTAGAAATTAAAAATTAAAAAAAACCGACTTCAAAAACGTGCAGATGCCGTCACCACATCTTAACCAATTTTACATGGGACCACCCTTGAGGTACCCCCTTACTAACAAAAAACAATCATAGATGGTAAAGCATTATCGCTAAACATACATAAAAAATGAAGAGTTTGAGGATTTTCCCATGGATCCAATTATTAGATTTTAACCAAATTTATATGGGACCACCCCTGAAGTACCCCCTTTCTAACAAAAGAAGAATCATTGAAATCGGACACTGTGTTAAAGAATAATCGCTGAACATACATAAAAAAAAAATATCGCGACGAATTGATAACCTCCTCCTTTTTTGAAGTCGGTTAACAAAAAGAACGGAATACTCCATGTAGCCTGCCATTTTATTTGCATTATTACCCAACCCCTCCTGACTGAGCTTAGTAAACATTCTTCCTTTTTTTTATTAATTAAATTTTATAACTAAAAAAAATTATAATTAATAATTAAGTCGGAATTTAAAATCCAATAACAAGTTGGAAAAAACACGAATAAGTGCTTCATGTTAGGTATAGATTTTGACCTCAAAGATGAAATCTTCCACTTGGCATAAATCTGTTGCCTATTCGCTCCGTGCGCGACCGCAGCGCCAATTCGTTTTGGTATTAATGGACTATTTCTGGGTATACTGACAAATATAATTTTTAATAGAATTCGTATTTAAAAAGTATATATGTTAGTTTTAATAAAAGTATATGGATTTGTAAAACAAGTAAAACATTAATTTATTATTATTATATATTTTTAACGCTTAAATTAAAGAAAATTATGTATAATCAATGAAAATCAATAATAAAATATAGGCAGGCAACAGTATTTACTGGAAAATGTATGAGAAGTTGCCTAAGTCTAATAAGTTATCATTGAAGAATTAGCCTGTTGTCAAAATAAAAAAATACCATTTAATAATAGCAAGTTAAAATGTATAAAAAAAGGATCGCTATTTATATTTTCATTTTTGTTCGTAAGAAAACATATAATGAATGATTAAAACTGGTTTCTCATCAGTAAGTCACAAAATTACATTCCATCCATATATAATAATCAAAGGCAGAAATCTTGAAATCTAGTCCTTGCTGAATGAACATTTAAGAATAAAAGGACATTAAAGAACATCGTAAAATGATAATTTATTGTTTATTTAAAACCTTTCAAGTTTCTGATGTCTACTATTTACAGCATTACTGTTATTATTACAAAAATAAAGGTAATTTTTCTTCTTATTGTACATCTATCCATTTATTTCTTTGATTTAATTTCCACTTTGCTACTGACATTTTTTATACGAGTTTCACTGTTTTTTTGCTAGTATTTGTACAATTGTCAACACAGCAACTCCGGTTGCTTATTGTATTGTCTGTACCTACTTTTTTGAAAAAAAGTAAATTGTATGCGTGTATTTGATATGCCAAAATTACAAAATATCGCCCTAAAATGCACGAATTATCCGCAGCTAGCGCTAGTATCGCTTTTGCTTCCCTTTCCATGACTTCGCACGGAGCGAATAAAAGGTTCGACTTTAGAAAATACAATCAATATTGCAGACGGAATGAGGATTTTTAGGAAATCCCCCACCTACCTCAGATCGCAACAAAAAAATCAATGACAGAGAAAATTCATCGTATGACAGAGACTCATTCAAAAAGCAAACAAGACCACAATCGGACCAGTTGCCAAATTAAAAGTTATGCACTTAAATATTCAAGGTGTCTCCAACAAGGGGCCACACATAGAAGTCCTACTGAACTTTAACCCGGCTGATGTCGTCTGTTTCTCAAAACACTGGCTTACAAGCGATGAATTGAGACACATGAGTTTGAATGGTTACACTCAGAGCTGGGCACGAGTACTGAATAAAATACTCGTAATAACGAAGGAACAACACAGTAACAAAAAAATATTCTAAAATAAGTAAAATACAAAAACTTTGTTTAGAATATCAATAAAACAAACATGGTCAACTTGACAGTAAACAATTAAATACAGTTTTTTAAAACTACAAGTTTTTCGAAATTAGTATCTGATAGAGCGTGCCTCCTTGGGCTATTAATAATTGTTACGAAAGAAAATAGTCTCTCTACAGCCGCAGATGAAGTCAAAGGCGTGTTATATTTCATAAACATTTTTTTTATTGTTGGATAATCATCAAGCATTTTTAAATTAGTTCGTGTATCACTAATGTATCTAAAATATTCCAATTCCGCTTTGTTTTTTTTTTAAATTTGCTGTCATAGAAAAACTATTTTCTTTCTGAGAGAAACTTATTCCCGGAATGCTCTTAGAAGTTTCACATTCACCGAAATTAAAAAATGTGCATAACGTGTCACAAGCAACATTTGCATCAGATGTTTCATCTAAATCTATAACCTCGATAAAATTACTTGCTTCATTTAATACCATTTTTTCTATCGATGTTAAGTTTGGAGACAGTGGATATGCTTTACTAATAATGTTATACCAGCGTAACTTAAATTGCGGATGTTCAACAGAAGCTATAACAGCGCCTTGTACCTGTGAATCTAATGTAAAGAAAAGCTTAAATCTAGTTTGTAAGCCGTCGAGGCACGCTTTAAGTAAAGGTGAAGCAAATTTAAAATTTGTTTTCGATAATTTGTCAAGATTATTTTTTAATGAGGCTAAACATGGGAGCAGAAGACCATAAAAATTATTTGCTTCGCCTTGTAATACATCTAGCGTAGCAGCCAACGGTCCCATTACTTGATAATATTCTTCCAAGTATAAAAGTTCGTTTGCATAAAAACAGTTTTTTAAATTTAATCTTTGAAATAAATCATTCATTTTGTTTTTGTCTTTTAAAATTTTACTAATGGAATCATAATAAGAATTCCAACGTGTGGCTCCCGGGTAAGAAAGTGTATACCCTAAAATTTCCAAAATTCCCTCAGCAAATTTCGGAAAGGCTGCTTTTTTCCATAATGTATTGCATTTGGTCATTGCTTGAGAGTGTCTTAATTTTAAAACGGCGTTGCTATTAATCACTTTATAACAATCAGTAGTGCAAATTAAATTAATAGTATGACTCGCACAACGTAAATGGTTAGGTAATCTATGTTGTTTATCGATAACCTCACCTTCATCCCCAATGATTGTAAATGTAATTTCTTCAATATCTTCGACATAAAATTTATCTTCACCGCTGCTTGTATTTTCTTCATTTTCAATAAAATCATCTTGCACACTTATACTATTCTTTAAATGACTTAACAAAATTTGAACCGTTATCGGTGACAGTTGCCACGATTTTGTTTGTGTCCAATCCATACTTCATATGTATATCTTCTAAAATACTAGCAATTCTATCGTAAGAATGAGTGCCTTTAAACCGCTGACATGCCAGGGTCACTGATTGTCGACTAAAGTCATGATTTATCCAATGGCAGGTAACTCCAATAAAACTTCTTTTTTTCCTGATCAAATATCGGCCGTTGTACAAACATATTGGACATTTAGTAAATCTGATTTCAATTTTGCTTGCCTTTCTTGAAATAATTCCGAAATACGTCGAGTCAAAGTATTTCTGCTAACAATTTCTAGATTAAATCCACCAAATAACTGTTTGAAATTGGGATGTTCCACTATTGATAAAGGACTCATATTGTTAATTACGAATTTAATCAGTCTGTTTTCGAAATCCGTTTTGGTTATTATTTTTTGACCTTCCTGAACTGCAAACTGGTTTGCAGCTTAGGATTAGCAGAAATCATTTTTGATTTTTTAGATTTTTTATTTTTATTAAGTTTCTTTTTTTCGTTCTTATATTTAAGATACTTGGTATAGGCGTTCTGATGAACCGTTTTCAAATGTTTTACAAAATTGGTCGTAGTTGTTACAGATCCTTTAATATTTTTAATTTTTGGCTGGCAAGTTTTACAAATTGCTTCAATATTGTTAAAATCCATTATTTGTTTGACCTAAAATAAAATATTTATATAAATTAAAGTTACAAAGTTAATTATAACGATATTTTTTCGGCACTCGTTCGGAAAGTAATTACACGATTCATAGAATTAAGTTGTGCAAAATAACGTAACCATTTTCACGTTTTATTAATAAGATTTTCAAAAAGTGTGTTAAGTGGGAAAAAAAAATGAATTATTACCTCAAAAAATTTTCCGTCTAGAATAGCATTTTTGGCAATTCTTTTTTGGATTCTACCCTGACTTTCATTAGTATCGACATCAACTGGCTTGAAATTTTCCCCCGTATCCTTAGACTGGCATGCACGTTCCTCTGGCATAGTAACATCACTATCCGAACTACCATCGTGGGCGATTCCAGGATTAAAATCACTTCCAGAATCAGTGGAATACGGATCATCCACAGACATATCACCACATTCACTTTCCATCTTTGTTTCTACGACAGCACGAAGTTGTTACAGGTTTAAATCGATGAATTATAAATTAATACAATTACCATTGAATAGTTATGTTAAACATAATTAATTAGTTATTATTTAATTACTTAATAGTTAATTACTTACTTCAGGAAAATCAAAAAGGATACATTTGTATTTTAACTGTTTATTGTTTAAAATGACCTAGTTCAGTGTTTACATTTATTTTGAACTACTTTAGTGACCTTTGAACTCTGCTCTTCTTTTATTCTAGAGACATTTTACAACTAGGTATGCCTGTACCTGGCTAAAAGGCCTACTATGGTCAAATATTTTGGCATCACCAATAAACTCCTAGGTCAGGAAATGTGTCTTTCTCGCTCACTTCCTTTTTCTTCTTTGTTCTTGGTTGAAATTTGGGCCATGAGGTTTCTGTAACTTTCGAACTTTATTCGGATTTTTTCAACCTAAAAACAAATTAAGTTTAAGCTAACATCTAACAGATTAAGTATATATATAACATTAATCTAAGTGGATTTACCCAGTTGGGGATAATTATACTTATCTTAAAAGGGGCCGCTTCTGATCTCCGGTAAGCATTCTTCATTTTCTTTGGTGTGAAAATCTTTCTATTTTATACATATTACTTTTAGGCCATTAAGTGTAGACATTAAGTCTCTACAATATCTAGCTTTGGTCATCTAGCTTCTAGTATTACCAGATATTATTTACTGCTGCTCGTAGAGCCGATTACTACTTTCACTATAGAGCACCTCCTTAAGTCTCTTCTAAAGTACCACTCACGTGCCGTATATATTGGATTGGTGGCTGGAACCCACTTCTTCCTTTACCAGCACTTGACTGCGAGCATTATATCATAGCTGTAGACGCCGCTAGGAACCGATATCGCCAAGTAAGAGCTTTCCAATTTTATACTCATCCGATTAATAGCAGCCATATAACCTGCAAGAAAAATAAGAACATTTAATTAAATAGTGACATACATATATATTTAAAACGTGTGAACCTTGGTAGTACTACAAAGGGGGATTTATTACCTATCGGTATTTGTTACATACAATTGGGCTTCTAATTATCACTATCTACCTAACTACCTACTTATTGTACAAATTAAAGAAAAACACTACTTACTCATTGTTATTATTTGGTCACACTAGCATATCAAGTTTCTCTTTAAGAATCCATGCCACTCTCCGGCTTACAGTGGCATTAATCTAGTTTTGAGTTAGCAGCACAGTTCTTGTAACTTTGATTTCTAATTCGCCTTCAGGATCAGAATTTTAAATTAGTAATAAAGTACGACCTAACATGATAAAATAAAAGCATAAGTCCCTTGGTGTATGATGTAGGGGAAGAGGGGGCACAGTGTTACACGAAAAATGTATTAATTATTATTGCTTCAAGCAGATATAGTAGACCAATTCTGTCTTAAGCAATAGCTTGGTATAAATGTTGACTATCATCGGAGAATTAATCACGGATCCAGTTCTAAAGATAAGGTTAGAGTGACACATTTTTTATTCGGGATACACAAGTAACACTGTTCCCCACCACTGGGGTACAGTGTTACACATACTGGGGTACAATGTTACAGTGAAAGTTAGAATGGAGTACCTATGATGTTTTATAATAAACAACAGTTTCTTATGAAATTTTTATTTAAAAAATATGTAACATAAATCAAAAACACATTTACTCAACTTTAACTACGACCTAAAAATAATAAGTGATAGTAAGTTAAAGTTATTTTAAAGTATTATAATATTGACCGAGGTCTACTGAGAAAGTTAACATCTCGGATCGCCTGGCTGTTCCTCCAGATGGTTTTGGAGCAGGCAATTTTGCTTGAACCTTGACCAAGTCGAAAGAATATTCTTCAAGAGTACGAACAAATTTGAAGGTTGGATGTAATCGACGGATATATACCACATTAATTTCGGTATCTCTTTTATTTTTTATTAGCCCTACCGATATAACTTCGTGTCCCTTCGTAATCCCTTCTTTTATGAGAACATAATCTCCCTTATTTAATTCCATTTCCTGATGAAAATCTATCTGTTCCACATCATCGCTGACAAATGAGCCAACACTTGCGTCACTTTCTGCACATGAAAAATGTGAATCTTCTGATGAAGAATCTTGTTGAACTTTTTTCTGTAATTTTGATTTTTTTAGTTTGAATACGTTTCGGGTAGCTTTGTTTTTACGACTATTTATGTCTGCAATGATTTGATCTTTGATTGGAGTTTCAGTGAGAATCTCGCTTTTGCGTTTCCGGGTTTTTTGTTTTTTCTTTCGGATGCTTTTGGATGAGGTCGAACGTCTGTGGGCATCACAAGACAAGTAGAATTGTTACTTGACTGTACCAGAACAGAAGACTGGGAGTGTCTTGAAGTAGATGGAATCGGAGAATGTGGCGGAGTAGAATGTAAAGGTGGCTCTAATTCATCGTCTCCTTGATTTCCTAAATTTTCGATTTCGGCTTCCACATTAATAGTCTGATCTAAAGATGGCTGTGGTCTATCTGTAACAGCTGATGCCAAAAAATCATCATTTGTATAGATGTCTCTATTTATTGGCCAAATTCCAGTACATCTGAATCCATTTACAATATTATTGGGAGTGAATGCTAATGGATACGCTCTACCCAGCAAACCAGCAACTTCATAAATTGTTATGGTCTTTCCAGGATTCATGACCATCCAATCATTACAAACTTTATTGAAATTTGTCTTCAAAGACTTGTATACCGTTTTATCAAGCGGCTGAAGTTTTCCACTAGTGTGAGGTGGTAGGGTCAAAAGAATTATACCGTTGCTTTTACAAAATTCTAAGGAATCATGGTTATGTGTGACTCGTGGTTATCCAGTATGAGAAGTATGGGCGCCTCTTTAGCAGCTTTTACAAAACGTTGGAAATGTTTTAATATATCCACGAAAACTTCTCCATTGACCCATCCAGTTTTTGCAGCCGAACCCCCAGTTCCCGGAGGGGCTCCTGTTAACATTCTATCTTTAAAATGTACGCGTGGGAACACCAAAAATGGAGGAACCGAATTTCCGGTTGCATTAATGAAACAACAAGCAGTCACCAATACACCTCTTTCGCCAGATGTTACTTGTCCAATCTGTTTTAAGCCTCTTTGTCCAATTATATTTGGAGGATTATGTACCGTTGTTAGGGCTGTTTCATCCAAATTATATATATTTTCTGGAAATGGACCGTTTGGAAATTTATCGTATGCTTTGTATAAATTATTATAAAATTCGTTTACAGTAGTTCGATTGAAACTTGTTGCTCGCCCAAGACTTTAGGCTTCAGGTTTCCTAAGTGATAGTTCTGGATAACGCTTCATGTAACCATATAACCAATCTATTCCAGCTTGTTGACGTCGTTGCCACGAATCTGGAATTTTCAAATTATTTCTTATGGCAAGTTGGTATGCTAGATCCATAACATTTTTTCTTGTTAATCCATGGTGCATTTTGCAAGCTTCAATGAGGTAAGTCTTCAAAACATCCTCTAAATCTTTGGGAAATATTTGATTCACTTTATAATTTGGCTCAAACCTGAAATTTTCCCTATTTTCTTCTGAACACTGTTTATATTTGTCCACATATCTTTTTAAGGCATATGTACCAAATTTTCAGATGCACCAACTGACCTGATCGATTTTCCATTATTAATAACTTCCAGCACTGCACGCTTCATTGTTTCTCCATCAAATATAGCAATTTTTTTTCTTCCTTTCGGTTTCGCACCATTTTGAAAATTTTCTGAAAATAATAAATAATAAAGAAATGTTTTAGAAACAAGCAAGTCATCATCATTCTCGCAATTTAAATGTTTTTTAAAATAATGGGGTACAGTGTTACACTGTCACACGGTGCCCCACTGCTGGCTG